TTGCAATACTCTTTTATGATTTGAATTAAAGGAAAGTTTTCGTGACTGTTGTGATAAAGAAAATTCTATTTTACAAATTGAACAATTTTGTTGAAAAAATTAAACGTTTTTATGGATTAAACTTTATGTCGTGGAATGTTTATTTCAAGGTGCAGGATACATAGCAAATATATTTAAAAGGTGTTTTGACGACTTTATGTAAATTTAAGTAAACTTCAGTTTGATCAAAGCAAGTGAGATAGAATCAGTTTAGAGTTCATAAATAGATATCTTTTATTTTAACCTCACGTTCAATTTAACATATTTTATGATTTATGCGGAACAACGCATATTTGGTTACCTTACTAAAACTCCATTTGTATCGTATCAACACCCAACACAACTCTGGTAAAGATTTCGTGCCCTAGACGTGTTTCCCACGTATTCTACGAGCTGCTGTCACTATACCATCACAACATCGGCATTCCTACCAGCTTAGTCCACAAATCTCCGACAGTTTTGACAGGAATGAGTTGACTATTCATGTTGGCCAGAGAATGCGATATCAATGAGATTTACAACGAATAATCTTTGCTCGCGACTGCAGTTATAAATGAATGAGCATTCTTGATACACAGCCAAAGGCAAAATAAATATGGAGGCAATAATTAATTGTTGATTTTTTTCAAATCCATGGCAGATTAAGAATTAGTAACTTATTAAGTAAATCAAAGTTGTTGCCAGTATGAACTGAATGATTGGCAAGAGTAGACACAAACAGGCCACCACCATTTCGAATCATCTTTCAATATCCTTGGCTGATTGACATTTAAGAGGGTTACTCGAATGTACGGTAGCTACATAGAAAGACTTTAATAACTCTAATCCAATTGTAGTGAGATTTACTGAAGTGGTGCTTCAAAGTCAAAACCTGTGCGGGTTTTAACAATGCAGCACCCACACCGGTATTAAATAGCTTTAACTGCCTACATGGCTATAAAGTAGTGCTTGCTGCATTCAGAATAAAACAGGCCTAGAAGAATGAATAAAGGAGGTCCAGCCACACGTGAAAATGCTCATGTTTTGTAAACACATTTTCATTTGAGTTTGAAGTAATATCATAACGAAATTGATCAATAATATTTTTTGGAAATCCTCAAACTTAATTATTTTCTTATACTTCAAACATTAACACACACAACAAGAAATACAGATTACGAAAATTTTACATAACCATTATTGTTGCTATCATCTCTCTGTGAAAATAGTTTTTCATTACACGGCAACGTCGCCTCATCAGAGGCCATTTATTTGTGGTATAATTAATGTAAGCCCCAAACATCTGGGCATAATTAGTATACCTAATGCTGATTGGCGGGATTTGTATTTGGATCCACAAAATAGAAGTCGCCAACGCTAACCACAATAAATTGTTTACTTCAAAAGTATTCTTTAAGGATATTGGTATTTACAGGTTAGGAATTATGTTTAGGGATTATAAAAACCGATCCTTTTCATCTAGCTACGGTCCAGTAGTAATCATAGGATAGACATTTCAGTGTAAATTATTTTTCATTGCTAATTTGCATGACCATAGACTTTAAATGTAAGAGACGAAGCTATCAGATAGTATTCATTATTCTTACTAGGAATAAAAGTATAAAAGACAGTTCGAGTACGGTAGTTAACATGGAATGCTGTATTTGATCCTACGATCATCTTAAATTTACTTTGGTAAGTAAAGTCCGAACCCGTAATAAGAGGATATCTGTAACCAGTTTCGAGAGACCGCCTAGGTGATTTATTTGCTTCTTACACCATAAACCGTGTGACAAAGATGCCTAATCCTATCATAAACATGCTTATGCTTGAGTGATACATCTCTAGATCCGTTAAGTAGGGCCAAAGATGTTAATTCCCATTGATTTAAGTGAAATAATTTTTATTTCTTTAGCATATTAAGCGAGGATAGATTACCTGAAAGTTTTGCAGCATACTACGTGTTATTCAGTGTTTTTATTTTTAAATATTTACCATGGATATTGTGCATACAATTTGTTTGCCTCAAGCACTCTGATAACAAACAAACAAAAATCGGTCATAACTATTTCCTTTTCCTTAAAACAAATTTGCATAAAAAATCTATTCTTCCTAAGTACAAAGGTAAAGGAAGTGTAATAAAAAAACACAATCTTCTATATATAAATAGGCAAGCAGTTTAATTTAAAACCTTTTTTCTCAGCTCGTGTTCATCACAGGGAAAATCTATGCATACTGTTTGAATAAATTAAAATAGGCTCGAAAATAAGCACAAAAAATTAATTTTAAATTTTAGGAAAATTAACGTGGACTTTATAGGTTACCATGCTGGTGACGCTATAACAACAAAATATAAACAGAAAATCAAAAGAAATGGAAGAAACTACAATCACATGTTTTATTTACAGCGCAGGGCTGAAAATAGAGTAGCCAGTACACTACATATTTTTCGACCACTAGTAAAAATTAAACCGCAAATTAAAGTTACTGCCTTCATTAAATTCAAAATATAATAAAACGAGTAATTTGATGGCACAATCTAACCTCGTCATCCCAAACGTGGTTTGTGATTTGTTAATAATAAAAAATGGTATGTTTTTTTGGAGGAAGAAGTTATTTTCCTCTCTTGAGATGCTAGACTGTGGTTCACCTTCAGCACAAATTTGCAATTAGAATGACCATGCCCATGGAATTATGCCATTTATAAAATATGTTGGTGATTCGTGGAGATTGAGCCTGTGTCACCACGACAGAAGCATCTCTCTCTATCGATCAAGTGTCAAGAGTAATCCGATGATAGATAAGCCCCTTACACATAGCAAAGCACTACAAATAGGTATATACATCTTAATGAAAAATATAGGTACAGTATATGAAAAATGAACAATTTCAATCGTGCTTTGTAGCATACAAATAGAAGTAAGCTTTAAACATTTCCTTGGTCAAAGAAGATAATCCTGAACCTGACGTTTGACTTTTTATCACTGTGTTTTTTATCACTGTGAATATTTATATTAAATAAAAAAAAACTAAATTCAAAACAGTATGTCAAAGCTAGATCACATTTCTACAATGCAAACCCCGTATTACTGCATACCCAATACAGTAATGAAATAAGGTAAGTAATTCCTTTCGTGGCCAAGCTCTAAGACTAACTACTGTAAAAATGCTTTATCAGTTAATTTACAACTGAACGCACCAAAGACAAGACCATAAAACTGCCAATGTTACCCAACTGAAAGAGATTGAGCCCAAGAAGATGTCCTTTTCCATTTTATTACCAGCTGTCTGCTCAACAGTTCTAGATAGACTTGTCGGAGAAATCTACATAAATGGCGCCAGAGTTGACGTAACGGGTGAAAATCTACCATTGTTTTTGTTGCATTTGTCAGATTGGTCGGTTTTTCGAGCGACCACATCAATCAAGATAGAATATGATAGGTACAGAGTACCTGTGCCAAAATAGGTAAGACCTTTATTTAAATTAAACCAATTTGTTTTGTATGAGCTTATGTTAAAATGATGATATTATATGTATCATAAAAAAAAACTGATATAATAGAGTTATTAATATAAAGTTTTTGTTTTCATTCAGCATTTTTTAATTTAAACATAATTAATTCCTTACAAAAGCCTTTTAATCACCAAAATTCTTACAGAGTATTTTTCAAGTAAACAATTCTTTACACATTTCTAAACATTGTCATGAATGCAGGGCTTAAATGTAGTTTGACCTTTTAGTTTAAGTGCCCTAATGGCTAGGATTACAGAATAAAACATTAGTGCATAGATTAAACACTAATATGGTGAAAACTAACATTTTCCCATATCAGTTCTTCCATAAATTACCCAAATTAGTCTTTGTAGAGGCCTCCGCTCTTAACACAATAATTTGTTTTAGTCCAGTCAAAAAACGCAGTATCTCCTAGTAGACGTGGAAACCACCCACCGAAAGTTGGCTGTGACTTACTAGACACCCAATTAGCCAAACGACCTCCCAGGTGAACAGATCAAATATAAGACCAATTAGTAGATTCATATACCAATTGAGAAGACGCCTGTGTGGGTGTTGGTAGCACAAGCTGAGAAGGTGAACCTCCAGACAAAAAACAACATGGAAGTGGCCACCTAACTAAACCACATACAGAATAACTGTTTACATTGGATAATGCAACAGTTTGACACTTGGATTGTTATTTTCATCGGACATAATAGCTTGGCACATGCGCTGTGGTCAATGTAAGATTTACCTATTCACCAAACCGTTGATCGGCTCTAAATTTTCAACTTCGAAGACTTGGGGTAATTTTTAGACACAATGGTGACATCAGCATGAGCAACATCAATGTGAAATTTACCTCAGGGCTTAGTCACTAATTGCACAAATCACGTATAGAAATTTTTCCCTCTTGAATGTAGGATATCCTTAAAACATAACGGGTCTTTAAAAAATATCACAACGCGGAGGAGGTTGGAGACTTTTTAGACGGTAATGGGATCAAGTCGACCAATTCACTTTACATAAATATATCGCACACATGTTACCCTTCTTAATACTCCTTAGATATCCATCTACTTTTTATAGAGTATTGAAAGCACTGATCTTGCAATAGGCCAAACACTCAAAGATATAAAAACATGGCCATGACTATAAACGAAAAATAATGCTGGTGGTAGATGGGACATTGTTTTATAATGCGAGATGAAAAGTATAAACATTGGCAAAAATTAAAATGGTAAAAAAGAAGAGAGCAAAAGGAGGTTATGACTCACCCTAAATACTGAAATCAAGTGGGCTGAACTCAATCCTCTTCTAGCTAGAGTAGAATGTCATCAGCTTGTTTTTAGTGCTCATGAAAGGGAGGTATTTGGACAGGATTATGGAGTAAGTGTGTGCAGTAGAGCACCAAGAAATAAATTTTGAAATACTAAACAGACATAATGACAGATCGGACACGATCATAAGGCTGAAATTCAGCGAAATGAAGATAAATATATAATCAACTTTGAACATGTCAAGTATCGACTTTAAATTAAAATAATCTGGGTCCATTCCAATAGTTTTTGTGACCTTAAATATTCGTTCCCAACCCTACTACAGCTGTATTCCCTTCATTATTCAAATTTTATTAGATCAGGCAGTATTCCAACTACTTAACAAATCCAGCGGTCACTCGGCGCGCATTCTGATGCCAACAGATGACAGATAGCGTTGGCGGTGTGGTTATGATGGTGTCGATTATGCATGGAAATTGTGTCAAATGACTATTTAGTTGCAGTCGAGAATATAAATCATTTATCTGGCTTTGATATCGGAAGCAAATGTCTCTTTACACATTCTGTTCTGCTTTTATTGTGTATTTACTCATTTATGTCTTCAATCTGAGCATTTATTTTCCAAGCATGTTGATTGATGCAAATGTCTTCCCGAGGAGGAATTGACTATACTTACAATCTCAGTGCTGTAATTCTGTAAACATCGTATATAAGCCACAGCATGATAAGTGACTATTTACTTTTACAAAACTGATATTTCCCAATAACTGTAAGAATTTTAGTTATACCAAACTTTTGTGTGATTATTACGTCCTTAGGGCCTGTATTTCCTTTTACTGATATTCCTGTACTTAAGAAAACAGCTTAATTTTGTCCTAACTATCATAGACAAGACGCCCGGGATCAAGAACTCAGTTAAACTGCATTCAGTCTAAAAATATTATGCACGTATATTATAGCATTCATAAAGGAATGTCCTGACGGTCCTAATAAGAAAATAATTTGAAGTGGCAACCACCAATTGGTATTTATGTGATACCATTTAACGTCCAATTATTTTACAATGAAAGAAAACAGCAACTTTGATGCGTGTGTGGGGAAACTCGTGAGGTTAAATTTGTGGCTAATTTATACACCTATTTTAAAATTTGTTCCAACCTTTGAGCCAAAATTTTTATAAATTATAAAAATTAAAAAAAAACTGCAAAACTACAATAATACTTAACGAAAAAAATTACACCAAGATCTTTTAAGTCGGTTCACAATTGGGACTACACTCGGAGTAAGAACTAAGCCAGGAAGAACTAGATTAGGAAGATATCTTAAATCAAAGGAGTGTGTAATAAAGTTTTAGTACACAACCAAATCGTTGTACAATATTTGGTTGTAATTTATTTCCCATATCAACAGTTGTACCTTTCTAAAGCAAGTCGGTTCTTCAAAACATTTGGTTATCCATTCCAATGCGCGTTTCACCAGACATAAATAATTCAAACAACGTTCACTATCGGTACGTAACGAATTCGCCATGTTGAAAATGCACACCGCTGTACTACATGTCTGACACATTGGTGTTCTCAGGAATTTTTAATTTACAAAAGTTGTAATCAATACAAATTCAATATCACTGAAACATGACACCATTTCATAGAATTTACATAGGGAAGCTATTGATCGGTGGAAAGCCAATTGATAATTTATCTTGTAAACTGGCATGTCATCCTGAACACGCTAGTATTTATGATGTAAGTTTCAGTATTGAGGCATACTGATCATTGGTCATACAAAATACATGTGCCATAGAAAATATGATTACGGTCATGGTAACTTATGTCCATTTTATCACACAAGTTAGTCTATTACCACGGTAAAATAACTATTTTCACCACACTATGATGTTTTTACATAAGTCAATTGATGGCTGAAAGTTACGTTTTGCTGGCAATGCCAGCTGTAATCGTCATTTGGGGACCGAGCAGGTTTATACATCCCTAGGGCCGCAAAATCAGCTGCCCGCTTACTTTCTTAAAACATGAATGCATATTTAATAAACAATCGGTATCCATAGCATTGCAATAGAACTGTTTTATGTCACCGTTGCCTAGCAATTATTTATTATTATTTATGCTGATTCCTCAAATTGATTATCAGTGTGCATTATTATTGTGGTGAATAGTGTTAATAGGGTTTAGTGTGGTGAAAAATAGCGTTCGTACCACGGACCAAAATGGGTTTTCTGATCAAAATAGTTTTATAGTTCAAGACGAAGTTACCTAGGGCTCATTTTCGGCACTAGGTACGTAATATACGATTATTTTTCACATTAGCTCCATATTGCTTCCAATAGTTCGCTCATTTATACCAACCCCTAATTTCAATACTATCAAAAGACAGGAATAGAACCCGACCCCTCTTCGATATTTCTAGTAACCTTCAACACCACTTTACCCTACATTGTATCTGTTTACAAACAAACCCGATTGAGATAACGGTTAGTTTTATCCAACAATCCATCTCCAGTAATTAAACGTCTGTCTTTAAACCGCTTCCAACGGTTGAACACAATAGGTGCTGTCTATCATATCTAGTATTAAATTACCTTGGTCTAAACGACGCCGGTGCAGCCTACGGGCGTCTAAAGAAGAGAGAGAGTTAGTTAGAGTAGTTTGCTAGAGGTTTGATTTCAGGAATAATACCGTTTATAAGGAAGATGCATACGCATTCATTATAAGGAGTTTCAGAACTGTTGAATTTTCATGCACAAAAATTTGGATTAAAGCCCTTTAGTATAGATATTCTTATATATTAAGAAATCAATCTAAAAACTATTTCAAAGTAAATCCATAACCAGTTTTTGTTTTGTATGGAGTTAAAAGAGGATATAACTTATTGAGGGAAGAGTTCAAAATGTGGTGTGATTTTAAGTTTGAATTGTCATCAGCAAATTATCTAGAGTACAATATCAAGCTGCAACTATACTTAGTAGGCAATAAGGATATCCAAAATTGGTTTGTTTACAACCAATATAGTATGGATGCAATGTAAGTATTATATATACAAACCGTACGAAAATGAAGTATTTATAGTTCGGCCGCTTAGAAAGCGACCTCCTCCAACATTGGTTTAGCATTAGCGCGCAGGTCGTTTTCTAAGCGGCCGAACTATAATCGAAATTTTGGCACTAAGTCTTTTTTACTCACGAAATATTTTTTTAGAGGATACTCTTTCGGCTCAATATATGTTAAAACATGTTCTGTTGTTAAAAAAGTAGAAAATATGTATACACTAAAACTTGTACCAATATCTGCCAACATCGTCAAAACCTATTTAGGGACTAAAAGGTGTTACGGAGTTGTGAAATACTATTGATGTTGATTAAAATTAGTCAATGTTGGCGTGACTATGGGTATTCAAATACACCTTTTTTTAAATTTGTAGTGAATTTTCAAACCTATAGTTTATCTCATATAAGTCGTATGAGTCGTATGGGATTATCTCAATATAAGCATAGTCAATGATATAAGCCACCAAGTCACCATTGCATTCTAATGTGTAGGCTCATAGTGTGCTATTATCAGAGTTCAACGAAAATAGCGAATGCAATTCCCGGAACATCGATTGGAAACAAAGAAACATTTGCCGAGTATTTTTCACTCAAGCTAGATATAAAGACTTTAATTACAAACAAGAGTGTTTAAAGAACACTTCTGTCTTCAAACAATGTACATGGCACTGTTGTAAAGTAGATTTAGATCAACCGTAAATTTCCACAGGGGAAACTATGTAACAGATCCCTTCGTAGGCTTTTAATAGTTCAAACAGTACAGCTGTAAGTCATAACACACAAATACTAGAAAAATGCCGGTATGGATCATAGACATAAACAAATGACGTTGTTGGCCCGAATCCTATACTAATAGCATTGAACATATGTTTTGGCAGTTACATTTTAGCAATGATTAATAATGTTTATTTTTGGCCAAAAATGTCATTTGTTTATGTTTATGATCCATGCTGGCATTTTTCTGGTATTCGTGGTCATAACATTAACTGCGTGAAAACGAGCTGTTTTGATTTGTAATGTTGCTCTTGAACGGAAACACATACTTTACCTGCGGGGAATAACCCTAGACAATGAAACATACAACATGGTTAAACACATAGTAAGATCTCTACCAGGTGACCTTGCAACACTAAATTATATTCTTGCGTTATTTACATTCTCTAAAATTTACAGAATATTCGTCCATAGATATTTCGTTACGAGTTACATATAAATATGGCGAGTCACTGGTACCAAACACTCTCAACATGCTGATGTAGGCTAAGTAAGCTATGCTTTTGTGGAGGATTGGTTAAGTCGGATTGTGGTTGCACTGAAATATAACGTTTTGAGTTTTTTACATTATTGGTCGATAAAAGACACTAATGAGAAAAGAAAACTGTTCATTTTTTAGCGTCATACGCTATCGACTATTTCTTTGCAAAGCTTAACAAACCTAAAAGAATAATTAAATACAGAAAAGGTAATTATAGTTTTAAAACAACTAACAATGCTGTGACTGAAATTATGTACTTTCAATATATTTTACGAAACACGAGAAGTTACAATAAGATAATGGAAAGTCTAGCACATCTAATGTTAATTAAGTAAACCAGCACCCCAGCACACATCGATCAAAACTACAAACGTTCCGCTATTTAGTAAATAATCCACGTACGTGAATAGTTCAAACCTAATGAGACAGGATCGATCCAAAATAGGAAACTTGAATAGGTTCCCATGTTCTCTCTTATTTTGTCGTTGGGTTCATTGTAATTATTACCTGTATTCATTCTACTTAAGTTACCTATTCTATCTTAAGGTAGCTGTTTCATACTTTCAAATCTAATATTAAACTAAATCCGATTTTTTCCATCCCATTCCTTTTTATAAGTAATATATTTTATATTTGAACGTTTTGTAACACCTTTTAGATTGCAGTTCCAATTAATTGTTTATAGTTTAACGCATCTTGTTAAGCTTTGTACCATATTTGATTGTATTACTATTGTACACTCAGGTTACTTAAAAAACTTCTTCTTTCAAAATCATGCTATTTATTAAAAAATTAAAAATCACTTCATCTTTACATCTCATTCTTCAGTTTTATGGTACATTATAAATGTAGTAGTACAGCTTATCATACATGGTGGTTATTTGCTTCGATCAGTTACTGTCTTTACACCTGAAAACATCTTTGTGAAACTGTGAAAGAGGTAAATAAATAAATTACATTTTAATCTGACTCTTCTCCCGCAAACAGTCAAGTGGTAAAAATTCCACATCGTATTATTTTTGTTTTTGTAAAACAATACGTTTGTACAAGTAAAAAGGCGTTTTTTAAATTTTTTTACTACTATAATAATGACGATAAAGTACGAGTTTAAGGAAAGTTCGAGTTTGTTCACACAAGAAAAAAAATGAACATCAGGAATAAATGAATGATGATTCGAAATGACAAGTCATTCTGCTAAGTGCCGGTTCATGACAGCTCTTATACCGCACGGATAATGTTCTACGGTCATTTATAACAGGACTAAGCCCTTTCAGTGGTACTACTGGAGTTTTTGCTATAATCTCAGAGTAATAATCTATAATTCAAGTGAAGAATAAACAATTATGGTTTACGTGAAAAATTGTTGAGCTGTCGTTGTTTGTTTAGAGTAAAAGTTACTACTTCAGTTTAAGAAGTATTACTACCTCATCTCATATTTAATATTTACTGAACTCAACATCCTTAACATACAATTTGTTTTTGATTGTTTAACTTGATATATGATGTTTAATTCACTGTCAAGAACCGGTAGATAAGAGGTTTTGTATTATTCAGTTTATTATGATGCAATGACAAAATTAAAAGTTTAATTTTTTATATAGCTTTATTTTCATGAGGCGAATTTTGGGGACTGGGAGGAAGACTCTAAAGGAGCGTGCTTGTAAGTGAAAACAACCCTAGCGTAGAAAACATGCTAACTCAGCGAATATTACTAGTTGAAAAATTGAGTTTTCAACTTTAAACATTATAAAAGAAAATTATTAAGTTTATATGTGTAACATTGGCTCATAGATTATTTATTTTTGCCACTCCAACTAGCAAAAAACATTACAACCGAACCAAAACATAACAACCAAATCATCATAACAAACGTAATATTTTTTTTATGGGGAGGAGGTAAAAATGCAAACGTAATATTAACTTCCTGCAATATGCAAAAATATTTGCTTAAAAAAAACAACTTAATCGTTTGAACAAATTAGGGTGAATTTATAACTAATCTAAGGATCAAGAGAATTGATTAAAATACAAAATGCTAAATGAATTCTCTTTTAGAATTAATTCAGATCATAAAAAAATCCAAGGAACCTTGGCACAAAAGGTTGACACGTTTTTTGACACCCCTCTACCTTATTTTTTCTCCATTCCCGTATGATTGGACCGGTGTGGTATACAAACTAAATCAAAACATGTTGGTTTGTACATCGAAATCGTTTTTGGAGAATTTTTACGATTATCGTTTATTAAGAGACACTAATAAGTCAAATAATTTGAACAAAATGTATATTTGGTCTCTGGGTAATCTAAAACGAATTGTATGTTACAAGAGGGAAACGAAATTTACCATCCATGACGATGACTTTGGTAATCTACTTCACAAGGGGTAACTTGCTAAATTCCAAAATGTTGTTCTTCACAACCTTGAAAGCTACCTTTATTTTATTTTGAATTATTATCAGGTGCCTGGGGACCGAGCTTTGCTACGGGGTATGTTTTAAGTGATCCAATACTTAAATACTTTCTTATTAAATGGCGACCATACAAAGTAGGTATTTTCAGCCAAGTATGAATGGAGATGAGTGTAGGATGAGTGGCACGATCTTGTAGTCTTGTTAGTGACTAAGGTCGACAGTGATCTGAAAAATTTCTGTTAATTATTCGAAATGTTGTTGCCTAAGATTTAACGTCAGAAGGTAAACTAACTTCCACCTTTTGTCTATCAAACACTGTTATCAATCCAATAACACCGATTAGGCCTACATTTATAATTGCCTATATAATAACCAGGAAACCTAATGCCCCAATGACCCAAAGAGTCGCGTGACAGTTGAAATAGGCAGGCAGTTACGCAAGGCGAGCGTTATGCATAATTATTGGCTCGTCCTCGTCCCTAGCCGGACAGTGGCCAATGGGACGACGTCTTGCATATTGTAGAAGGACATTTACCGGACGCAGTTTCAAACTAAGACGCCCCCTGAGCCGCAATTACACGTCAATAATACATCAGTCTCGTTATGTGACCTGTCTCACAAGTTGGCGAGGATGGCTCTGCATAGCACTTTGACTATCATCGGGGTCATCATCTTCACCTTGGGGCTGGTCGGGGGGTTTTGGGGCTTTTGGAAGTTGATCTCCTGGAAAATTTCGGGGGTAAGTATACAGCAATATAGATAGTTTCAGGGTCAAACACCAGTAATCTTTGTGTAACCTCTCTAAGCAACCTACTTTTCAAAGAAGCTGCTCGTTGCTGTGTAACCCCTACCAAAGATGTTAATTAAGTTTATGAGTAGAGATCTTCCTTTGCTATTCAGCTTATCACAGTAAGTTAATAGCAGAAATCACAACTAAATTATGTTTAGGAGGAAACCTGAGAGATCTCCTTTAGGCCTAACGGAAATTATAAAATAATCCTAAGAAGGTGGTCTTAAATGGTCTTAAGGTTGGTAGAGAGGAGAGCGTTGGTCTTTGGAAATTGATCTCATGAAGAGTTCGGAGGTACGTATAACTTTTAAAATAATACTGCAATTTATTTTCGTCTATTTCTAAACACATTAATATAATTATGAGCTTAAGTAAATCCACAATTTGTGCTGTGAATCCTGGTTTAAAGTCCTGTTTGACGTGAATTCTAGAACATGTGTAGAAAGATAGGCGATATAGAGATACACTTCCCAGCGTATTATTTGGAAATCACTTGAGGCCTTGAGTAGTCCTTGCCTACAAGACCATAAGAGTCCGTCTACCACAAACACAGCCAGTTTAATACGCGGGTGAAACCATTGTTAAACTGCTTCCGTTTTGTACCTTCCAGTTTATGAAATGTCAACAAGTGACACGTTCTGTTCCAGAGCATCAACCTAGGACCCGAGACTGACATAAGGAAGGCCTGGGAGAAAGCTCCTATCGCCATAGACTTCAACGTCTACATCTTCAACATCACCAACCCATTGGAGGTCCACAACGGAAGTACGCCCGTGGTAGAGGAGATCGGACCATTCGCTTTCTTGTAAGAAAACTGAAAAGTTACAAGTCATTGACATTACACTATATTACACACAAATTTTAAACGTATAGTTCAGTCTAAAACATGTTTGATATATTTATTTATGCCCGGCTGAGTGTGAGTTTTCTGATAATGACTGAATGTTTGATAAAAAATGAATCTGTATTTTACAAAGTATTTACATTTGATACAAAAAGATAAACGGTAGTTGATTATGGACTGAAGTCGTAATATTGTTTTAAAAGTGTACTAGAGAATAAAGTAGATGACATCAGTATAGAAAAGGTTGGCAGACAAAAACTGTCGTTTAAATGATATTAATATAATTAAATGTTGTCTTCAGCTTATCCAAAGAAATAATTATTTTTAATTAAGTAGGCTATGCTTTATCATTACGCTAACAATAAGTTTCTTGCTTGCGTATTTAATATCAGACAACCCTGCAATACAATGCGCTGAAGTCAGCAATGCTAAGTTAAAACTAAATATTGCCGGACACATGATATTTGTACAAATATTACAACTAAAATGTAGTAAAAATAGTACATAATTGTAACAATTATAAAGCGTACTTCAAAAAATATTCCATAAAAATACCTTTTTTAAAAGTTTGGTAAATACTCGTATTTGCAGTGAATGGAAGGAGAAGGCAAACATAGTGGACCACAAAGAAAACGATACAGTTTCCTTCAACATGAAGACAACCTGGTACTTTGACCCGGTGAGGAGTGGCCAACTAACCATGGACGAGATAGTAGTTGTGCCCCATATGGTGTTAGTGGTAAGTGATACCTTTGTGGCAAAAACATTTCCCAGAATTAACGAAAATTCTTGGGCCAAAAAAAGTCACAAGCCCTAATGATAAAATATGCCAATTATGGACAAATAATTGGTATATTTTATCATTAGGGCTTGTGACTCTTTTTGGCCCAAGCTTAAGTTCAACGACCGTGGTAAGGTCCAGAAATAGGTGATGATTGAAAAGACAGTATGTGCTCGCGTTATCAACTACAGTATATTTGTCGTCGTACTCTGCCATTTCTGAGGAAAAAACATGTTTATCGTTATTGACCACCTCCTAAAATGATTTGCTATTTCATACCAACAACCAGGGCCGGGGATAGTAGCTAGTACAGCTATTACCGTCATTAAGATGTAGTCCATATACTTAATACAATACGAGTATTCTCTGAAACATATCTTGCCCAGCCGTCTTACTTGACAGATTTTCATGAATGATGTGTCATTTTAAAGCTTATAATCTATTGGAGAGACAAAAAGGTCATTTGCTTTAGGGTTTCGCCCCCTATCGTTTTATTTATTTATAGAGATAACATTCGAAGATTCAGTAGACTCCACACATTGAAAATGCACCATCTTGCCCTCAGAACCTGGTGTATATCGTGGAGAAACGCAAGCCAGGCTCTCTCCGAGTGGTCAACAACGCTCTCTCCGACCTCTTCGACTCTCCGCAGACTGTCTTCGTCACCACCTCGGTCCGGGACCTCTTGTTCGGCGGCATCCCCATCAACTGCACGTCCACGGCGTTCGCCCCCGCGGCTATCTGCAGTGTACTCCGCGGCCAGGCCTCCGCCCTACATCAGTTCAGCGACGACGTCTTCGGCTTCTCTTTGTTTGGGGTGGTGAGTAAATTCATTTATTAAACATGTTGAAATGGTGGATAAGTGGATACTTGCTAATACTCGTGCGTATGACTTTAAATGATTACGAATTACTAGTAGGTGACTACTACAATTCCAATACTCATATTATTTAACTATTCTCCCCCAGTGATTCTTTTGTATACAATATTTCTATTTGGTCTATGCGCTTTAAGTAAAGCCTCGCCCTAAATTCGTTCAATGTAGAGGGCATTCCCCATGTGTTTTAACAGTTCTGATTGAACATTGATTTTTATAAAGTGATTCCTTACTAGCCCCACGTCAATTGGGTCTCAAACACTCGCTTCTCAGTTAGTTTGTTAAAGAGATCACTGGATCTGAAATATTTTGAAGTTATAGTTTGCGTGCGAGTGAAGATATATAAAGGCACTGACTATAGTAAAAGTCAATTATATGTGTGTTAAAATCTAGTCGCTGATTCATAAACTTGAGACCACAAGCAAGATAGCACGAGATTGTTACAATAAACGGAAATGGACCTAAATTTGTAACGCCTGATACATTAGTACTGCAAGCACCATACAGTAATGTAGAGCTTAAAGTATTTTAAAAACTGCAGGCGTTAAGGTCGGGTCATAGATCACGGTTGAGTGTTTCTCACTTTCTCACACCATTTCTTGGCATGTGTCTTACAAAATAAAATATACTCCCGTTGCAGCAAACCTACATATTGGGCGAATTTCCATTTGTCTGATTGGATTTTCACTAACGAATTTCCTTAAAAATAATATAAGATCAGATTTATAAGGTCAGATTTATTTCCTTTTAAAAATAATATTAGGCTTTACCAGTATTTCGGTTTACTGCTACATGGAAGGTTATAATTGTGTTTTTATTAAAATATTTATATAAATTTGAAAATTTATGGACTTCATACTATCCTCTTAACAAAATGTAAGAAAACACCCTCTCCTTTCGTGTAGCAGTAACCCTAGGAACTCACGAAATTGTATGTCTTATGTTTTTTTTTTTTTTTTTTTTTTTCAATGGGGATTTAATCTAACAAGTTAAAGAAATTTTATGAAAAAAAAAACTATCAAGAAAATATAAATTCTTGAAGGTTTATTGCGGAGATTTACCAAGTGTCGTACACAACTAATTTAGAAGTGATAGTTTTAGTTAAGTAAGTTTTTAAAGTGGGGCAATAAGTCTAGCAAACACAGACTAAGCCATATCTCGAGCAGTTCATAGATTGTTGTTTACTCAAAAACATAATGGGTAATGTTGATGTTATGCAGTCGACGACGTTTTACCAAAACTCAGCTGTCAAGTTGTTGTTTCAAATTTGAAGTTTGTAAACATAGTTAAATGTCATCTAGTTAATGAAAAGACGTTTAAAAAATAACTAGCTGACTCACGGGCTTCACCCCGTTTGACTTCACAAGTATTATTAAAACTATTGATTGGTTAAGTTAAGCTAAAATAAACAAAACAGAATACAGTAATGCAAACAAATAATCACACCTGATTTTAATAAGGTAATAAATTGAAAGAATAACAAACAAATAAGTACAGCTGAGGTATTTTTAACATTAAGTATATGGAAAGTTCCCTTTAGAAAGGAATTACAACCTTAAAAGGGCAATTTGTGAAATAATGGATACTTTTGCGCAAAGTTTCTCGTCATGACGAATATTTTAAGTATATGGTTTATAAGTTTGTGACTTTTAGTTTTCTCTAAAGTTCATGGGTACTTAAGGATTTATACATGGATAAATAAATACATATTTCTATCACACCTCTACCATGTTAGTAATATAAACAGATGATGTGCCGTAAATATTTTCTTAGGTCAACCAAGAAAAAAACTGTTTTATTTGTTATGAATCAATCATTAAAAGTCTTGAGTATTAGAACAGGAACTGTATGGGCCATAAACATAAACAAATGATGTTACTGGTCAAAAAGAAAACATTTCTTGCAATATTTAAATGGAACTGTCAAAAAGTCCAAAACTGTTGTTATGGGTATTAGTACAGTATAGACATAGGGACCATTGCCGCTGTTTGTAAACCATACCGTTTATACCCTAATATTCGTGGTGGACAGTTAAAAAGTTGTCGGCATTGAATAGTTATCAAAAGGACCGCTATTTTGTATGTTTGATTAAAAAATGAATATTTCACGTGCAATATGCCCTGAACTGAACTACTTTGTTATTTTGTTTGCTTTGTTTTATTTAATCGATGCAATGTAACATAAAAAGCCTAACATAACCTCCCATAAATAAAAAGGCATCTGATCTAAAACACATTAAGTGGATTGGTTTGATGTTTTATCTGTCTGGACATTTGTAAGTTCAAGCCAAGAGATCAAATGGCAAAGTACTGAAAATAAAAATAAATGTGCGAATGGTCAATAAAGTCAAGATAAGAAATAACAAGGATTATGAATTATAAACACCAGTCAGTGCTCTTGTCTTGAGCAAAGATGTGATTTCTTTGTTCAGAAATCGTTTATTTGACATGCAACTAGAAACATTTGAGAGGAATTTTTGAATTGTTTTTTATCAATGGTTTGTTTATCACTCGTATATTATGCCGATTACGTATTTACCAAGGTTTTATCGGTTGAAATATAAAAACTGAAATATCGACATAATCCTTATGTTGTATGTTTCAGACAGAAGCTATTTATAAGACACCTAGTCATTCCTGTTAGAGTTAACTTGACCGTTGATTCCAGCCGAAAGTGTTTCATTCTTTTAGTGCATTTCCCATATATGGAATATGTTATTACCGTAGGTCTTATGGTAAGACTTGGACCCGGGACCGATTTAATTTTTGTTTTGATGCCCCAGAAGCCAAACACACCATCAGTTCAAATTCATACAGGGTGATAAAAAAAAAAGTTAAATGGTAAGTGCCTTGGATTTTTTATTTAAAAAATTGTAGTCAAGTCGAAAAAAATATTTTAGCCGCCATTTTTCCAATATGGACATTGATTTTTCTTATGGAACACCCTGTATTTTATTATGTATTCCGGTAGAAAATGTAATTTTAAGACGATTTTATCTTTGTGATTTTTTTCATAAACCTAACCGTTTCAAAGATAATAATGGTTTAAGTTTTGAAATTTTGGCATGAGAAAAAGTTTCAATAAAGGCCTAATAAGCAAGCATGCCAGCTGTTTTATTCGAAAACTATTGGAAATTTCACTTAAACCATTCACTTTAACTTAAACCATTATTATCTTTGAAACGGTTAGGTTTATGAAAAAAAAAAATCACAAGAATAAAATTGTCTTAAAATTATATTTTCTACCGGATTACATCATAAAATACAGGGTGTTCCATAAGAAAAATCCAAGATGGCGGCCATATTGGAAAAATGGAGGCGAGAATATTTTTTTTCGACTTGACTACGATTTTTTAAATGAAAAATCCTAGGCACTTACCGTTTAACTTTTTTTTATATCTCTTATGGTTTTCGAATAAAACGGCTGGCACACTTATATAAATCACCCTGTATATCATTTAAAGCGCATGTATATATCCGTTTGCACATTAACTCAAGCAAAAGTTATCCGATTCTGATGAAATTTGGTACAAACGAGTAAACTTACCCTTATTCAAAGAAGTCCCCGAACCAGCATGATTGGACTATAGGAACGGGGTTATATGGCGAGTTTTATGGGGTAAAAATGGTTTTTCCTATTTTTGACCTTCAAAACATAAAATAGCTATACAATATTTTAGGGTGGATATCGCAAAAGTGTTTTTCTCTTTGGATTCGATACCAGAGGAAATAAATATTTAATAAATAGATGGTAATATTTAATTGACAATAATAATAACAAAGATACTTATAGGGTCAGAAGAATACCCCCAATCGATCTTCCAATTTATAGTGTAATTTTTTTTTATAAAGTTTTGTTTTGTAAGTTAATGCACTCACTGGAGTGTAATTAAATCATGTTAAATTATCGTGACATTTACTTATTGTTCCAGTATAGAACATATTGTAAATAAAATACTTGTCAAAAAAAAAATTATGAAACTAGTCTTAGTTGGTTAAATGATAAATAATAACAAATAAAGCGATTTCCACTACAAAAACGAATGGAAACATACTTTATTATTTTGCTTGTACCTTAAGAATAATTATGCTATAAGAAAAAGACTATATGTTTCATCCATATAATGCCTATTTTGAACCAAATGACATGCATGGTTTCATCCAAGTAAATTTTCTATGCAGTAGTCGGTAACGCAGATCACTTAGATAGTCCATGAATTTGCCGTAGCAGCGCTATCGCACGACGTTGAATATCGACTGTCACAACTGGGGTGGTTACATATAAATAATTTGTTCACTTTTAATCTACACTCGTAATGAACTTTCTCTAAGAAACTGATTAGAGTTTTGAACACGTTTTGGTAGTTTTTAACCATAACAATTATTCACCTAGCTGATGACAACCTTGCTAATTATACGTATAATAGTAAAAACTCATATTTATACACCTGATTGAATTTTGATTATAGAAAAACGGCACCCCGGACGCAGGTAGGTTCAACGTCAAGCGAGGCACTCAAGATCATCGAGAAGTGGGTAAAGTGATGCTGTACAACCATGAACCTCAGCAATACGTGTGGGATGGACCTGAGTGTAACAAACTGGACGGTACGGACTCCACGGTGTTCCCACCCCTCATGAATCCTCAGGAGGACATCGTATCTTTCTCACCGGACCTCTGCAGGTGAGTTAGGTAGTAGGTAAAGTTACGCTGTACAACCATGAACCTCAGCAATACGTGTGGGATGGACCTGAGTGTAACAAACTGGACGGTACGGACTCCACGGTGTTCCCACCCCTCATGAATCCTCAGGAGGACATCGTATCTTTCTCACCGGACCTCTGCAGGTGAGTTAGGTAGTAGGTAAAGTTACGCTGTACAACCATGAACCTCAGCAATACGTGTGGGATGGACCTGAGTGTAACAAGCTGGACGGTACGGACTCCACGGTGTTCCCACCCCTCATGAATCCTCAGGAGGACATCGTATCTTTCTCACCGGACCTCTGCAGGTGAGTTAGGTAGTAGGTAAAGTTACGCTGTACAACCATGAACCTCAGCAATACGTGTGGGATGGACCTGAGTGTAACAAACTGGACGGTACGGACTCCACGGTGTTCCCACCACTCATGGATCCTCAGGAGGACATCGTATCTTTCTCACCGGACCTCTGCAGGTGAGTTAGGTAGTAGGTAAAGTGACGCTGTACAACCTTGAACCTCAGCAATACGTGTGGGATGGACCTGAGTGTAACAAGCTGGACGGTACGGACTCCACGGTGTTCCCACCACTCATGGATCCTCAGGAGGACATCGTATCTTTCTCACCGGACCTCTGCAGGTGAGTTAGGTAGTGGGTAAAGTTACGCTGTACAACCATGAACCTCAGCAATACGTGTGAGATGGACCTGAGTGTAACAAACTGGACGGTACGGACTCCACGGTGTTCCCACCACTCATGGATCCTCAGGAGGACATCGTATCTTTCTCACCGGACCTCTGCAGGTGAGTTAGGTAGTGGGTAAAGTTACGCTGTACAACCATGAACCTCAGCAATACGTGTGGGATGGACCTGAGTGTAACAAGCTGGACGGTACGGACTCCACGGTGTTCCCACCACTCATGGATCCTCAGGAGGACATCGTATCTTTCTCACCGGACCTCTGCAGGTGAGTTAGGTAGTGGGTAAAGTGACGCTGTACAACCTTGAACCTCAGCAATACGTGTGGGATGGACCTGAGTGTAACAAGCTGGACGGTACGGACTCCACGGTGTTCCCACCACTCATGGATCCTCAGGAGGACATCGTATCTTTCTCACCGGACCTCTGCAGGTGAGTTAGGTAGTGGGTAAAGTTACGCTGTACAACCATGAACCTCAGCAATACGTGTGGGATGGACCTGAGTGTAACAAGCTGGACGGTACGGACTCCACGGTGTTCCCACCACTCATGGATCCTCAGGAGGACATCGTATCTTTCTCACCGGACCTCTGCAGGTGAGTTAGGTAGTGGGTAAAGTTACGCTGTACAACCATGAACCTCAGCAATACGTGTGGGATGGACCTGAGTGTAACAAACTGGACGGTACGGACTCCACGGTGTTCCCACCACTCATGGATCCTCAGGAGGACATCGTATCTTTCTCACCGGACCTCTGCAGGTGAGTTAGGTAGTGGGTAAAGTGACGCTGTACAACCTTGAACCTCAGCAATACGTGTGAGATGGACCTGAGTGTAACAAGCTGGACGGTACGGACTCCACGGTGTTCCCACCACTCATGGATCCTCAGGAGGACATCGTATCTTTCTCACCGGACCTCTGCAGGTGAGTTAGGTAGTGGGTAAAGTGACGCTGTACAACCTTGAACCTCAGCAATACGTGTGAGATGGACCTGAGTGTAACAAACTGGACGGTACGGACTCCACGGTGTTCCCACCACTCATGGATCCTCAGGAGGACATCGTATTTTTCTCACCGGACCTCTGCAGGTGAGTTAGGTAGTGGGTAAAGTTACGCTGTACAACCATGAACCTCAGCAATACGTGTGAGATGGACCTGAGTGTAACAAACTGGACGGTACGGACTCCACGGTGTTCCCACCACTCATGGATCCTCAGGAGGACATCGTATTTTTCTCACCGGACCTCTGCAGGTGAGTTAGGTAGTGGGTAAAGGTATGTCCTTCTCGGATTTTACTATCTCATTACATTTAACTGATTAAAATTAATTTTCATCCACCTCACAACACGGCAACTTCTATTCGGATCGATAATACGAGTATTTAAATACATATGGTTTATTATTCACTTGTTAATACTCTTTTAAATACTTTTAACTGAATTGGAGACCATACGAAGGTAGGTATTGAGATATGGCAGTGAAAATGCTAACTTCCTTAACATTATCACTAGTTCTTTCAAACTTATACCATGTGTTTTATAGGCATAAGAATAGGTATAAACATATTTAAAAGTAAATTTTTTCGTTAAGTACACCCTAATATTTTGTGTGTTTTTTAGGTAATTAACTAAATTTGATATAACTTGTTGTTCTAATTATTGGATTTTAATCATTAAACCATCAGTTTGCAGGAAATAATGCCCTCTAAATATTTAGGAAGAATTATAACAGTATCTTGATTTATTACCTTTTTATGGGTCATTTTGTAATTAAAAAAAAGAAATTGGTTTTCTGTGGAAATAAAATTATCTTTTTCCCCTTTAGAATAGACGCAAATTTACAATTCTACCTACAGTATTTACTTAGATAATAACATTCTTAACACTCGGTAAAAATTTGAATCATGTAAAATAAACCTTTTTGAAGATATATCAAATTTAGTAGTTAAAAATGTTAAAAGCTGATTAGCGGGAATCGCAGGCTACACTTGGTAGTGTAACCATGGTGATACTTATTGTTGAGTTATAGATCAATTTTTTTGTATCTTTAAAATAGGCTTATAATAGACAAAATTTTAAAAATCACTTAGCCTATTTGAAAAAAAAATCTGTATTTCACTGCCGTATTCCCTTGCCAAGTATGATTGGAGATGAGTGTAGGATGAGGGGCGCAATCTTGTAGTCTTACTGATAGTCTTGTTAAATAGATGTTGACCATGGCCAATGCCTCGACTAATACTTACAAAACTGCTGGCGTGTCTGTGAATTATTATAATTTATATTTTAACGTTAAATTGCAGGTTAAGTCATTTTTTTCAACAGCTTCCTCAAGAAGAAAGCCCGCGTTGGTGTATGCCACAGACAATAGTCTGTGGTTACACCACCTGCCTATTACCATGGCAATACCAGCAATAAAAAACGATTAAACGCAAACATAAACATTTTGCAGATTCTGCATTAGTGAATTAGTGAATTGGTGCAAACAGCTCACGGGCCACTTTTGTCTCGCCGCGGCTTTGTATTAGTAAATATCATACCAGCTGGATTTTTTCTTATAATAAGTGTAAAGGCTGTATGTTGTAGGTCACTGCCTGCCAAGTACGTCGAGGACACAGAGTACCAAGGTATATCAGCCTCTCTGTACTCAGCCACATTAGGAGATATGTCAACCAATCCTGATGAGAAGTGTTTCTGTCCTTCACCAGATACTTGTCTCAAGAAGGGCGTTTTGGATCTAACTGAGTGCGTAGGTAAGAACACCACCCACAGATTTGTTCATCAAAGTCTAGTGTTTGATTTTCAAAGGGATATTGTGATCATGTTTCATCTCTGATTAAACGATTCAAAATCTGAAGTAGTCATGTTTTCAGCGAGAGCGGAACCTAAATAGTCAATGCTAAAATGTAATAACATTAGTACATATACCAGATATTGCCAGGAGGTATAATAACTAATACAAAACACGAATTGAAAAAGATAAAATATTATCAACACTATACAGACAGCGTTTAAATACAATGTTTGTAATCCCGTACAATGCGGATTGTGCAGCACTGTGTGTCAGAGTACAAGAGCTGTAGTTCAGAGTACACAGTGTAGATGAAAAAGTATAGTTTTATACAGCGGCGTGTAAATTGTCAATGGCTTCTTAACTGCTTGCCATCCATTATGGACCACTTACTATCTTCTGTTCTCTTCTTCGTTATGTTTCTCTGATCTGGGAGTTCACAGCCTGCTCTTTGAGTTAGTCCATCTGAAAATGAAATTGGCATAGCCAGAACGATAACACAATGATTAGTAGCCTATACTTTTTATGTAGGAATTATTGCATCAAAACATGTAAAACGCATAATAAAACTATATTATATTAACAAAGAGACACCAGTTCTAGGTGACTGACAAACGCACGACTTTTCAATTTGAAGCTGCTTTTGTTTTTGGGAAGTCACTCAAATCGCCAGTTACCGGAAATAAATCTTTAACAAGAACATAGTTTAAACTGTCCCAATAACTGACAAATAGTATATTTTGTGAATCAACGACTGGTCAAATTGTCTTTCAGTTACATACGTAAACTGCTATGATATTACACAAATGTACTTATCTTTTGGTTAATTCTCCTGCCGATTGGTAAAATCCCAATAGGGTTAGATCTTAAGGTCCAAAGATGAGGTTTAGAGTAGCCACAGAGTTTTACTTCGTTTTCTCTGAACCGAGAGTTGCCACAGTCTTCTTATTTCTAGACAGAAAACCACATATTAGTTCATAACTGGTTCTATTTACTTTGATTTTAATCGTTTTATCATTTATGCTTTAAAGATTATGAAAAATATGGCGTTAGTTACCATGGATATCTATAAGTTGTTTGATATGATACAACACAATATGTTAAGTTGCTTCGGTTGGTTGGTCGACGGACTACATATCCATGACAACTATGTCGCGCGCTCCCATCCCTGTACTTGTTACAATTAGTTAACCAGAAGATTATTGTATATGTCCGCTAACATCTTGTTTTTCTGAATACATACTATGAACGCATAGGCTCCAAAAAGGCTCAAGAGTCCTTAAGTCTCCTTATGCCCCTAATCATATATATATATATTTAACGGATATATGTTTGAATTATCTATATTTGTATTTTGTTAACAGAGTCCACCATCATAGTGACACTTCCTCACATGTATGAGGCGGATCCCAGCTACAGAGAGACTGTTATAGGAGTTTCTCCGGACAAAGAAAAACATCAGATTGTGCTAGTATTTGAACCGGTAAGAATAACTATAAATGAACATTCATTGAAGATTTTGAAAACACGTATATCTTAGGCATGTAAAATCTAATTAAATAGTTAAATAGTCCACAACAAGTTTTATCTTGTTGGTAACACGCACATTCTTATGGTGTAAGCTGTTTTCACGGGCCTTACCCGTAGATTTGAGCTGATCAGATATTTTAGAGGATCTTGAAGTGGACTACAAGATGACTTATTTTATCTTAAAAGTTTATTGCTGGAAATAAGACTCGTACCCAAGAGTTTCCTCTATTGTGTCTCCAAAAGCATCCATTCAACAAAATACGCCAGAGTTTTGCATTTTAAAATATTTGTATAGCAATGTTTCATGCAAGTATTTTATTTGAAATTTTTAAACGAATGATCATGTAGGCTACTTTTCTTTGCCAAGCTTAACAACAGCTAAGGTAAATAGGTCACAGGTATCAAGCCTATAACTAAAACAATTATTTCGATTGTAGATCACCGGGTCCCCGCTGTCAGCAAGGAAGAGACTTCAATTCAACATTCAACTTCACCCCGTCAAAAAAGTCAAGATCATGGCAAACTTACCTAACTCATTTCTCCCGGTGTTTTGGGTTGAAGAGGTGATTAATTTTATTGAAACTCGTAAATTCTTGATTTTGAAACATCAACGTGATAGGCACTTTGCCATCAATTTAACCACAGTACATACATTCTAACATTCAGCTTAGTAGTACTGTACCTCCATGAGTTAATAGTAAAATGTTGTATATTTAAAAACATTTTACTGAGGTTTAACTATCTACAATTCTTGCATCCTTCAAATTGGTGAGGATTAATCTAATTCTCCTGGATAGGTTTCCAATGTCGCAAACTATATTTAGTGCCTTCGGGCGACGACTGTGTCAACGAACTAGATTGGTTGAACTTGATTCGTCAACTATACGGAGTTCAAGTCAACCTTTGAAGAAGGCACTTTATCAAGGTCAAAGCGTTGGTGAATATGTGTTTGGCCTATTATGACATAGCCGTTAACCAAAGCTAACGAATTTACAATATAACAATAAGTCTAATATTGCTTCCCATTCTTCTTAACCCAAATAATTAAAAGACTCTCAATTTATTTTTAGAGCGTAGATCTCAACAGCACATTCACAGATATTCTCCAAGACAATTTGTTTCGCCCAATGTCCATGGTCAACAGAGGTCGATGGTTCGTTATGGTTTTAGGAGTTGTTTTGGTGGTCATAGGATTGGTTGCCAGGTAAACGTCATCTAACCATACTATATAACGTCATTACCATAGTAACTATATACCACAGTAAACTAACTTATGTAACCTCTAGTATTACACAGTTTGGGTTTGGTGGATTCCCTTAATAGTCAGTGAAATCATGAAAGCATTGTTGGGTGTCTTAGATCATTTCAATTATAAGGAAGTAGTAAAGGCTAGCAGTGCAGAGTGTGGAAACGCTTTAAGGGAAGTTAGATTAATGTATCTAAACTATTAATAAATTATAAATAAAAATGCTTTTTAAAAATGCCACGTTTTTAAACGCACTAAAAAATTTTGAGAGAATAAATACTTGTAAGATTTAAAACGAAAAACGTGGGGCGCATGCTGATTTACAATTAACTTAACACCTATTGAACTATTATGATCTATTGCATGCGCCCCACGTTTTTGGTTTTAAATCTTACAAGTATTTATTCTCTCAAAATTTTTTAGTGCGTTTAAAAACGTGGCATTTTTAAAAAGCATTTTTATTTATAATTTATTTTCTAGTTTTTAGTCTTTAATGTGTAAATATGTTAAATCCAATTTATATAGCCTCTTAATACATAAGCAAACCCCAAAACCTTATTACCTGTAATCAGATGTTTTATCTTTACTTTGAAATGATTGTTTTATATTTTTAGAATATCTCGGGAGCAGATCCTGTACCTCTTAACCTCTGCTCTTCTAACTGTCAAATTTAAGTATTTACAGGTGACTTAAATTAATTGATATGTTTCCATTATTTTAAAATGTAAACATGGAACATTTGGAAGCCAAAGGGGCGTAGCCCAAGAGAAATATGAAAATTAAATGATATAATATTGCATTGTCATCCATTTGTGAGCTATGTTTCAAGTTTCAAATCTCTAGCTCATCGGGAACTTCGTTTGAAATTGATATAAAAATTTGTAGGAAAGCGAGCTAATAAAAACAAGCCCATGGGGCGTAGTCCAAGGGAAATATGAAAATTAAATTATATAATATTGTATTGTCATACATTTATGAGCTATGTTTCAAATTTCAAGTCTCTAGCACATCGGGAAGTATCAAAATTTGCAAGAAAGCGATTTAATAAAAACAAGCCCATGGGGCGTAGCCCAAGGCAAATATGAAAATTAAATGATATAATATTGCATTGTCTTCAATTTGTGAGCTATGTTTCAAGTTTCAAGTCTCTAGCTCGTCGGGAAGTTAGTATGAAATTGATTTCAAAATTTGTACTTGACAAGAAAGCGAGCTAATAAAAACGTTTTAAAATGCTATTGGAAGGAAGAGAAACAGGTCCATGACGTAGGGGTTAGTGAAGGAATTAGTAAAGGCTAGGAGTGCGGAGTGTGGGAACGCTTTGGGGCAGTTAGATTAACGTATCTAAAATACTAAAATACTATGGTAAAGAAGGGAAACAGGACTTAGGAAGCGATGGAGGAAGTAGTAAAGGCTAAAGGTGCTGAGTGTGGGAACCCTTTGTGGCAGTTAGATTAATGTATCCGTATCGGCAATCCTAAAATGCTATGGGAAGGGAGGGAAACAGGTTGCCGACGTAGTAAGTGGTGAAAGAAGTAGTATAGGTTAGCAGTGCAGAGTGTGGGAACATTTGTATTTTGTATATCTATAAACATTTATTCATTTATTACTTTAAAACCCGTGAAACATGATTGCTCCGCTCAACTGGCTTTCAATGTTCTGAAAGCAATCCTAGTAAGTATATATCAATAGTGAGATTCCGCACTATTCTCGTATGTATTTAAATATTTGTATTTTCTTTACATAAAGATAAAATAAACTAATATTGACCACATTTTCAGGAAGATACAGAAGAACGCTATCACAGTGACTCGCATGGAACCTAAGACTCAATCTCACAACGCCCAAGTAACTGACGTAAACTCAGCGTCTTCTGACAGGTTTTGACGTCATTATAAACGACACCATAAAGACGCACGTGCCTGGACATGTTTCTCGAATGAAATATATGTATTTAAAAGATTGTACGTTATAAACTAAACATGAACAAAACTAATGCACTATAATCGATATAAATAAAGTGCCACTGTTACTGTTTGAACTGGTTTTAAAATGTAAACACACATAAAAGTATTCAATATATGCTATATTGATTATTTTTGACATGAATGTTACATATACATATACTTGCTCAAAATTTATTAAATAATTACAATATATGTTTGTTTTTAATTATATTCCTTTAGTTTACACTAGAAAAGTGGTAGCGACTACCACAATAGCAACAGCAAAAACCACCAAAAGGGATCGGGACTGTGCCCACAGGACCACGTGTTTTCGCACACTCTTAAAATACTTCATGATACACTTAGAACCTGCCAAACCTTCTACCTAACCAGGCTGAAGATGGCGTCCTAGAGCAGCCTGTATGAGTCATTGAAAACTAAAAGAATACACAGTAATCACTTTAACGGTGTACCTTTAAATTTACTCATTTTCTGAGAAGGTAATCAGGTGGTTGTTCCACTTTCTCCCAATATATACCTTTCAACCTCCGGTAGCTACTTACAATCCTTATACTCCACTATTGAACGAAACAAATAAATGTTGTCAAAACGCACTATTTTAAACAATAATGTCGTGATTGCCTGTTTGTAAATGCCTTTCATCAATTTGCTTCTATATTTATTCAGTATCCAATCATGAATCACTCTATTTCACCGTGTGTACATTGTTTTGACCTTTTTGACAGTGAATGGAAAGCTTTGCAATTTTTTACTTAGATGCGTTATGGCATCATGTAACAAGACGACAAGCTGGATTGAAGAGATTTGAAATTATCCACCTGAGATACACAAGTGAGCAAGAACAGTTTAGACAGTTTTAATAAATGAATATGTCTTACAGAACTTACAGTTATTTTTTCAAAGCCAGTGAAATAAAAAAGATGAAAACGCAGTCCAAAATCCTTAAATTCTTGTGAAGGACAAGTTTAAACATCAAACAAGCAACAAACAAGTAATAACACCAAAATCTAAAAATCAATAGTACTTGGCTTATTTAACATGAAATGATAATGTTCATCAATTATTTGTGATGCTAGTTTTTGATTACACTTACCAGTAAAAACCTAACTGTTTTTGTTTGCAGACCATAAATAATTAGTCAAATAGCCGATAGTGAGTTGTCTTTTACCATGAACCAAATAACTTCTGTGTGTGCAGGTTCTGAATCTAGTTTACCGATCTTGTTTACAATATGACTATAGTCTACTTTATCGATCATCTATACCGAACTACATTACCGACTTTGGGTTGATCGTCAAGTGCTGCCTCCTCTCGCCGTCGATGTGAACTACTCAGCTAAAATAATGTTTTCTAGAAATTTCAATAAACAAAGTTCATTATCATTTTAATTCTTCATAATTTCCATTTAAACTTAAGCAATAAAAGTTTTATAAATTTACAAGGAAAATCTTATTTTAATTCGAAAAAATATGATAAACCATTTAATGTAGTGTAACTAATAAAATGAATAGGTCTACATCAATCAATAAAGAGACAATGCTTTTGAAAAATCGTTTCAAAATATATAAATTTACAAAATTGCTCTGGTAATATTCAGCATATATACAGCGTGGAAAAAATCCCCAAAGTTACTAAGCATAACAACAATTTAAAACATTATTCAGTGATTGTGATACGCTACCTCCGCAACGGTAGCCCGCCTGGAGTAAGAAGGAAATTATAATGTAAGGATAGGTTGATGGTTCATATGCATATCAAATTAAAGTTATTTATTCTTAGGATACAATGCCGCATATTTGAGCTCAAAAGAACATCTAAGTAAAAAAATGGCAGTCGTCTAGATTCAAAATTTAAAATTCAATAAATGACCCCAGAGGAGGTAGCTTATCACTACAAAAAAGTGTTAAAATGATTTTAATGCTGAATAACTTTGTATAAGTTTTGTACCTTTATCAGCATTATCCTATGCATATAAAAATACATTTATTTAAATACATATATATTAATAGGCAAGCATGTTTTTTTTATATATTCAACTGTTCCGGGACTTTTTACCACCCTTATATAATCAAATTAAAAAAACCCAACTAAAATATTTACTATTTGAATTTGAGTTGTAAATTTTACAATGAAAAAAAAACGAGAGAGCCTGGACAATTTCATATACTAAAAAGAAAACTGAATTAACACTGTGCTGCATTTCTTGAGCAATCAATGAATATGTTTTGCAAATTATGGAAACATAGGAAAGTCATAGAACACCACCAAGTAGAAGAAATAGACATAATGTTTTTTTATATTTTTTTATATGTTTTTTTATGTTTGTAGAAAACACTAAAAAAGCAATACCAGGTTATGAAATATGATAAAATATTTACAGGAAATGTTGATTATTGTTATATATACATCGTGAGTATCTCCATGAGATACCTCTTAATCTTTGAGTTGACTCTTTTAAACTCATCGTAAATATGACTGTTATTCGTTTTGAAATAACTTCTGTAATACTTTATAATTGCTCGAATTAGACTAACTTGCACACTAGTCAGAAATTATTACAGTTATTTGTTTTAAAATAATGCCTGTAATACTTCGCATTTGCTCAAATTCGAGCAACAGGTACACTAGTATGATTTAAAAAAATAAAACTAGTGTAATTTAGTTCTTGGTGGAGAAACGTCGCTGGTTTTATAACACTCGCATCATGCTATGATCACCATGTGTACAATACACTACAACTGATATCGCAGAAATAATGAACTGATAAGCCTAATCTTCACCTGGTGTTAGGGAAAAAGTCTGACAACCTCATGGAAATGAAAATTATGTGATTTGGGTATTGTTAGAAAGATTGTGTTGGCATCGTTATTTCATACCATCATAATTTGTTGTTTTAGTACAAAAGTCATGGTAAACTTTTAGGGTGGTAATAGCTTTTGAAAGTACTTTTTCGTGGTTTATATCGTGAAAGAATTTTTAATTCACCCTTTCAAATATAATAAGAGATCCGAGGTATACAATTTATCGTATCGAGGTGTGTTAAGGTTAAGGCAAGGTTTGGATTAACCGTAATTATTGTAGATAATTCTTCTATAACTTTTCAATCGGAACAAAACTAAAGTAGGAACAGCAACTAAAAACACAATTATTTTGTTTTTAGGTTTTTTTTACATATAGTACAAACAAATCAGTATAACGATTAAATACCCCCGCCGCAGCAAACCTGTAGACTAAGCAAATTTCAACTTGTCTGATTACATTTTTACTTAAATATTTCCTGAAATAAGACATATTTATTCCCAATTATGATAAAATTAGAGTTAACGAGTGTTTAGGTTTGCTGCTATGGGGAAGATAAAAAGTGTTTTTTGACTATACGTCAATAGTATAGGATGAAATAAATAAATTTGCCAAATGTTATCATTATATTTCCATAAACAGGTAAACTACAACAGTTTTCGTTTCCTCCCTAAGAATACATGGGAATTTCATATTACACTTTTTTTTGAATTTTCTCCGTGGTCGTTAAGCATACAACAACGCTTTAATATACTAAATTATTTCTTTTTTAAGCTCTACAAAATAGTTTAGAAAGAAATTACAAATTTCTTTTGTTTTTAGAGTCAAAAATAGCTAAACCCCATTTTCACCCCCCATAAACTCCTGTTCCCATGGTCCGATTATGCTGGTTCGCGAACTCGTTCGAATAAACGTAAGTTTACACGTTTGTACCAAATTTCATCAAAATTGGATCATTTTTACTCGAGTTATCGCGCTAACGGACACACACATAAATATGAATTTGAACGGATGGTGTTTTTGGCCCCTGGGGACCTCAAAACGAAAAATTAAATCGGTCCCGGGTCTACATGAGACCATGATACCTACAGTAATAGCTTATTCCCTATATGGGAAATTTGTTAAAAATCATGTGAAAACGATAATTTCCAAACTTATGGAAATGTTTAGCTGGTTCATTATTTACCTATAGTATTTAGAAAACTACTGCAAATATATTTGATGATTTATAATTTGACGCAGTTTCAAAATGTTTTGATCAAAATACCTACAAATCTTTGAATTAAAAGCTTTAAGATTTACTAAATGTTACGTTGAACGTCATAAAGAAATGTTTGATTGTTTGTTGATAAAACCATACAGTTTTACAATCAGGTTGAGTTGACCCCTTTATCACTCATGTGCTTCAGAATAATTGTTTTCTAATCAATGAAATGAGTTCATAATACAAAATGAAATGTTGAACCGTTTTAAAATTTGGAAGAAAAAAACAATCACATGCTCTTTTAGCTTAAACTACTTGTACTATGTCGTAATATTTAACCTTATCCAATCCAATTTGTTATACCCAGATCGGGGACTGAGCAATTTATGTAACATGAAAATTATTCTAAAATTAATCTAGACCCGATCCGATTATTGCATATGTCTAATTATATTTTGTAATTGTAGATAGTCATTGTAATGTGTTTTGTAATATTTATGCTTAAAGGATTTCTAATAACCTTTTGATTTTTCCTTCAAAATGGTTAAGAACAAACCCATTTCTAAAAATAATATATGAACATAAGTAAATATATTAAATAAAAATGTTTAACTTACTAATTTTTCCTGCCAAAAACGTAAAACGCTGTAACACCTTTATAGTTATAGTAGCCACTTTGATGTAAACGTTATGTCAAGTTATCTCATAAAAGCTGACAAAATATGTTCATGTTCACATGTTCAGAGGTAAAAACACCATGCCGCGACATGTCCATCGGCCACTGAGGTGTTCTAGGTAAAGGTTTTTGTGATATTTTACAATAACTACCACGATATCATGCATTATACCATAAGTAATATTATATTAGTTGTAGGTGTAATATTTTAGAGCTGCAAACTTAATTTTGAAGTAGACCC